ATACAGTACACATTCTGGGTAATTTTCTCTGGGATTTTCTAAAATTTGCCATCACCTATGGCTCTAGCCCCTGGTGGTAAGGAGCTTCCATGGTTTCTTGCCGCTGACTGGGATGATCAAGATCTCCAACTTGGAAAGGCCGATGGAAGCGAGGACGCTGCTTTACACCACGTGGCCATAGCGCCGCGCCATGGATTGCCAAAAAAGGATGCGGCGTGTGAAGCTGAGGGGGGAGCCGTAGAGTTTTTCACAGATGGCGATCAGTTGGCACCAGAATCATCAACATCATCGGATAGAGAAACTGCCCTGGAGGAACCCCCACACTACTCGCTGCTTGGAACTGCTGGATTTTACGCGCTGAATTTGCTGTTAACAGCTGCAAGAAAAGGGTGCTTGTTGTTCACCCTCGGGGATCGTTCTGGATGGGCGGAACGCTCGCGACGAACGACGGATGAAGCTCCCGACTGCGGGATGTTGTCAGTTTGGCCCAAGAATGGTGCCGGTTCACATCTCTGGTGGGGAGGGCCGTGTGGCAGCAATACCTGTCAGTGTTAAAACAATCTTGAAACCATCCCTGCAATATTTGTTGAACGGATGTTTTCTTTCCAATCAAGGATTTTTGGGACATTTTGGGACCCAAAGCATGCCCTCCTTGTTCCGGGATGAAATGGGATGGACGCCTACCGTCGCAGCGATCTGCAGCTGCTGCAGAAAGTGCGCCTCCTGGGGCGGAAGCCCAGCTCGGCAGGCCGCCGTGGTCCGCCGTGGGGTCTGTGGAGTCCAAGATATGGTGACGGCCGTGGGTCGTGATGAGTTTTGGAACTCCAGTTTTGGTTGAGGGTAGTTACGGGATGTTAGGGGTAGTTTGGAGCCATGTAAATGTGGAATCCAATGAATCCAATTCATAATGTATTTCATACGCAGGGACCGCAGGGAGATGTTCCTGTGTGAAATCCTGTGGGCATGGGTCAAAAAACTTCAGACCCCCCAACTGATCAGAGCAGATGGGGAAAATCCCCAAACGGTCTATTTCAGCTTGTTCGTTCTGAGGATGTAAACCACTGTGCCGTGATATGCTGCCACTGAACAAGATCTTGAACCACCCAGGATGGTTGAGGGAGATACCATCAGACCTACTCTGTCCGTGTTCGAAGATGCTATCCGCCTACAGTATGTGTCAGATTTGGACCCACACCCATCAGTGCAATTGATATCCGCCCTTTGTTGGCTATCTCAGTTCTCTACACGTTTTATTGGCACATTGAACTCTTCAATTTTTGGTGAAATCCATATTGATATTTCGTTGACTCGCATCTACATGTCAAATTCTTATGTATGTCAATACCTGTTGCTTTTGATTCTTATTGTTCGTGATGGATTTGACTCACTTCTTTAGTCGATGATGATCCAGATTTTGATTGATGATAGTAACTTTCCATTGGTTGTTCACTTTCTGGGTATGATGTATGACCTCATTTTCAGTTTGTCATGTCCCCATTGGTGGTTGCCGCGCTTATCATCGTTCATACATTTTGATTCCCCCTTGTTTGCCTAGCGACATCCCGCAGTCAGTTTGTCATTTTTCCCTTCACACTGTCATTTTTCATTGACTCTCCATCCCCAGTTGATTGTTGGTCAATCAAAATAGTCATATACTGTACCTCTTTTTGCACCATGGATATTGTATGGATACATAATGATACATATATATATATATACACATACAGATTATATATATACTCTATATATATATAAACTACCCAAAATTCACAAAGAAATGTATCATCCTGTTGCTTTCTTTGGTGTCGCTAGGCCTGGCCGCGCTGCGTGAGCTCCAGCGCTTCCGCCGCGCGCCACAGACGGCGCTGCCGCTGCTGCAGAGCTTCAAGGGCTTTCCGTGGCAGGCGGTGATCTTGCTGAAGGCCTTAAGGCTACACCAGGCCTGGTGCGGATGGTGCGGATGGTGCGAATGGTGCGGATGGTGCGGATGGTGCGGATGGTGCGGATGTTTGTAGATTTTTTTGCGATGAGAAACATTTTTTGGGAAAGGGATGGTTGTTCTTGGGCTTTTGAATAGGGGCAGTTTAGATGTGGGAGGACACTTGATTGAAAAATATCAGTTGGAAACGGTTGTCGGATTTTAGGACAGGAATTGCTGGATGCTGCTGGGTTATTTGCCTTGGCGGCCAACAGCGTATGGGTCCAAAACTAAACCGACTCGGGCCAGAAGCGAAGAGAACACTGTCTGGAGCTATTCAGTAGGTATAATATCGACGAAGCAAAGTGGAGGGCACATCATGGCACATCAATCACTGACCCTAGAATTCAAGATGGGCAATGCTCATGACTCGGAGTTTCCTGTCTGCCATCTTATAAATGCATAGTGGATAAAAAGATGACCCGATTCCCGGGCGGTGTTGACACAAGGACCACCCTTGGGAGCAGTTGTTTTCCTTCTCCAAATTGGTTGACTGCCCAAAGTTGGATGCTTGCGACTGAAACTGACAAAAGTCAATTGTTTTTTGGGAACCTGTCATTGCATTTTAAATTTTGACCCATTTGCACTGGCCCAAGCCCATTTCTTCGCCGTCTGCAGGTGGAGATCGTGCCATGGCTGCACTTTGCAAACAGTTGAGGTCTGGAACATGGGAAACCCACCAATCAACAAAATGGTCTCTGTGGCAACCCCAGGCCCAAGAGTGATATCTCTGCCAACTTGGGAGACACTTCTGGGAAACTACAGGTATGCCAAAACCAAAGCATGAGCAGCGGCCAATTTGTGACATGGATCACAATGATCACTGTCCTTGGTCTCAGGATGTCTTCCATGTGAACGTGGTCTTGGACATTTGTAGCAAGGCCAGTTGTGGGATGGTACAACTCTCATAGTTGGAGTGGTGTTTACAAAAAACTTCTGCATTTGGAGGACTAAAACATCAATGCTTGCAAGTGTCGAAATTCATGAATTCCTCAAGATTGGGATACGACTTCTGACCACTTCACCTGTGTTCTTGACCAGTGGAATGCCTCAAGTGCGAGGCAGGAGCGTGGGCTCTATCTTTGGCCTCTGCCGTGCAAGCAGAAGCCGATCTGCCACTGGATGCTGTGAGTGCCATGGCCCCGAAATGCCTCTGGCGATGGTGACACCGTTTTGGGGATGAGATAGTGACCGACAGTGACAGGTAGTGAGAGATAGTGACAGATAGTGACCTTAGAAGAATGCCACATCCGCTCAAATTTGAGGGGTGAAAGATGGTTAAAGAATGTTAAAGATATTTGATGCAAAAAAAGTGCAGCGTCAGAAAATTGGATCTTCCCGGCTCATCATTTGAGGTTTTGGCAGCTTGACGCATGCGTGCGCCTTGCGCGGCCGTTGGATGCAAGGCTGCCACGTGATCGACTCGATGTGTGCACAGGAGACTTGGATGGGGGCTGAAAACCTGCAAAGTAAACTGGTGGGATACCGCTGGTTTTGCCCTTGAAAGGATCTATTTTTCTAGCCATTCAGCAATCCCATTTTGGTTGGCAATGTTGAATGCGACATTGGATATGGCATATTTGAAAAAGGCAACCATGAAATGAAAGAACTTGAGGTACCCAATCGATTTTTTCGATGTGTCGAAATGATCCGAAATGATCAAGATATGTGTGCAGCCAGTGAATGCCCATATCCTCCGTTCCATTTGCTTTCAGTCTTATCTTTGAGTGGAGCTGCCACACAAACAACCGACCCCAATCCCACGTATCAACGGGGTTGTAGGAATGATTATCCGTGATTATCCATCAATGGCGCTTTGTCCAGCGGAGTTCATTGGGGTTCCACCTTCCAACCGCATGAATAGTTACAAAAGGCACCATATCCACTAATTTCAACCATTGCAACATATTCGAACATATTCTGAATAAGGTAAACATCAGCTTACAAACTAACTGTAGTTATCTATAGTTGTTATAGCTGCCAACATAGGTGGTGCCCCATAAAGCCGTACTAAGCCACTTGTTCTTTGGAGCAGGTCAACCTCATCACCTATGGCAGCTTGCTACACGGCCTGGCTGGGGCACGGCGCTGGGCCTATGCCATGCAGCTGCTGCATCTCTTGAGGCAGTTGGCGTGGATAGTGGAGTCTTCGCAGAGCTGCTACCCTGCAACCCTACTATTTCCGGGAGGAAATTGTCTTCCAAAGCCATTTTGTATAGAGCTTCATGTCAGTTTCTAGGGAGGCACCCCAGTTTTTTCTTGGTTACACTACAGTTTTTGTTATGAGAACCGGTAGCCAGGCAGGATGGCATTTCGCCCAGCGAAACTGGTTGGCACCTCAGTTTGGGACAAGTTTTGGCACCATTCTCAGCAAATACCTTCTAAGAATATGCTGGATTGGGTTTATCATCGTTTATCCCAGTTATGATCCCAACCCCGATACAGCACTGCAGAAACCCCATTGGCAAGGAAAAAATACTTTCGAGTGTGGTGCGGCTGGGATTTGAAGGATGTGTCAATTAGAATGCTGGTAAATAATTCAGCAGCCCCGGCAGCCCCATAGAAGAACCGGTCAGTCACATCCACAGAGGGTGTCACCGTCATTTTTTCAAGCTGAATATTCGATGGATGTTTTGATCTTAGGAGATATGTTGCATGCCATACCATCAAACCATTAGCCATTTAGGAGTTGGCCCCGATGACATCATCCAATCATACCAGGGCATTAAAGACCGGAAGATTTTGTCTGCAATCTCTCACATCCCAGTATCAACAAGTACCCTCATTTGTTTGGCATTTGTTGGTGGTTTCACAATGTTTCAAACATGTTTTAGTTTTGCACTCTACCCTGGGACGATGATCGATGCTAAACCATCCAGTCCACAGGTTTCAGCAGCGTCCTGAATGCCTGCGTTGGGCAGTGGCCCCAGGCCCTTCAGCTCTTGAGACCTTCCGCCAGCGTGTTCGAGGTGAACGGAGCCCCCCGGCAGCGAAGATAAGCAATGAAGAAATGGAGGGAAGGTGGACATGTGAGACACTCAGTTGTTTTTTTTGGGCATTGACGGCATTGAAGAAAGATCTGAAAGATCTGGACATTTCTGGAGTTGGTGTCTGGGAGTTGAGGTCATCACCGCTTGCGAGAAGGGTGGCGTCTGGGAGCTGGCAGTGCGGATCCTCGCGGCATCCTCACAGTTTAAGGTGCACAATGTCAATCCGTCAATCCAACCAGGTGATCGTTCCCAATTTCCCAGTACCGCTACCCTTGATGGTAGTGATCAGCAGAGTTTTCTTTGTCAGAATTTTCACCTGAGGAGTTTCAGTTAGTGTAGTTAGATGCTTTTCAGATCAAAGGTGTTCCCCTTCCATGTCACTCTTCCGAAGACTCACCCCGTATGCAGTGGTGCCTTATTTGATCCGGTTGGGTTAAAGCCAGACCGCCAAAAACATGCTGGGATGACCTGTCAAGGTGGCTCCTGACATGATCAGCTATAGCAGTGCCATTAGTGCGTGTGCCAACCGCGGACTCTGGGAGAAAGCCTTGTTGCTGCTGTTTGAGATGACGTGTAAGCGCATACCGGCCAATGACATCAGCAGCATGTTTGCAACTGGAAGAAGCTGCCCGCTGATGTGGGTACTGGAGTAAAACTGGAACTAAAAGATGGGATGGACATGCATGTGAGTGCCAAAGATGACCAACACTTGTGTTTTTTTGGTTCCAAGGCTCTTAAACTCTGATCCACATGTGACGATCGGGTTGATGATGTGGCCTGGGTTGGTCACTTCTGGGGCGGAATCATGACAGTTTGCCTGCGACCCTCTCTGCATAGGATGCGCACAGGTGTGATCCAAATCACCAATCACTCTCACTCCAAAGTGGCCCAAGCAATCATGGTCAGAGAGTTCAAAAATTCAACAACTATGGCACTATCGATTCCCAACAAAGTCTTCCCGAAAAACCCAAAGGATCCCACCATCCATGGGATTCCATGGGTTTATGGATGAACTTCCAGTGACTGCCGAGGTTTCAACGCTGTGATTGGTGCTTGCAAAGAAGATGGCCGTTGGGCTGAGGCACTCTCTTTACTTTTTTTGATGGAGGACCAGCAGCATCCTCCAGACGTGGTCAGTGGCTTGACATGGCTCGACTTCAGGGCTTAGGTGTGGGTGATGTGCGTGGTGACGATGGTGGACAAATGGTCAAAATTGGTCAAACACATTTTTCCTCAGTCTGTCGGTCTGTCGATGAAGGTGATTAAATGATCTTAATTTCGAAAGACCAACATATACAACATATAATATATAGTGTATCCCAACCAATACACCATATATATATAATATATATATATATATATTCCATTTCGAAAGACCATCCCAACCAATCCCAACCAGAACCATCTCCAGCGATCCCGAAACCAAATTCCATCCCATGGGATGTTTGAAATGATGCTAGATGATGCTATGACAATCTATGACATATCCGACATATCCCATGAAAAAATGGCAAATTCTGGCAATATCAGTTCTGTCAAATATGTAAAACACAGGTAAAAGCCATGTAAAACCCCCACGGGTATCCCAATATTACGACAATTAAGAATCCCACTTATTATGAAAAGCCAAATGGAATATCCCAATATCCCATGCATCCATGCCAATACTATGATATATTACTACTGATCCAACATACTAACACCTGGGATATCCCATCATTACAGTATATAATATATATTAATCCCATATCCAACATAAGCCTTGGGACTCATTGGGATATCCTCTGGTAAACGTTTACATAACTCTGGAAAATCACCATTTTTCATGGGTAAATCCACTATTTCCCATTTTCAAGTTCGCTTAAAGTGTTGGTTTACCAGGCCGGGTCTCCTCAGAATCCCATCATTTCACCTGTTCCGAGTCGTTCCGAGGTTTCGGAAGTGCCATCAGCAGCTGCGACGTGGCTGGTCGCTGGGAGGTGGTGTTGCAGCTGCTGACCTCCATGGCTCAGCGGGAGGCTGACAAACCCATGGAGGAATTCAGGATGGTTCACTGTTTCACCAACATGACTAGTTGGGGGGATGGTAACTCATGTAACTCTGTTTTGATCCCTTTCTGGACAAGAATCATGATTCTGAATAATGTGATTCTTGCAGCAAAATGATCATGGGGATTTACATGGATCCAAAAAGATCTCCATGAACAAACCATGTTGGTAGTTTCGATGTTTCAGTTTCCATCCCTACAATTGTTATGATCACAAGACTTTCCAGCATTACTTGGGTTCTACATGTTTCAATCACAGCAACAGGTGACGCCCAACATCTTGTGTTTCAGTGGTGCTCTGCTGTCGCTACGTGGCCTGCGCAGCGCTGGCTGCGCTTGGCGGATGGCCATTGAATTGGTGCGGCGGATGGACATGGCTCGGGTGGCCATGGATGTGGCCGGGACACAACACGCGTCCTTCAAGGTGACTTTTGAAAGTTAGTTTGGAGGTGCCAGGAGGAATTCCTGGGAAAATTGATGAAAATTATGTCCCCAAATTGGGTTGACAGATGATCCCAGGAGCCTCACGTTTTAACGATTTTAATGCATGCCTTTCTCAAAATGGTCCATTTGTACCAGATGAGACATATTGAGACATCCAGGTCTTTACGATTCAATTCTCAATCTGAAATCCCTTTCTTTTTGTTCGCTTGACCGCTACACTGGAGGGGTGAGCCTACGGAATCAGAGAAGGAATGACCACAGGTTGCTGGAGAGCATGGCCACTAATTTAGACTTGAAATGACTTGAAGATATCTGAATTTTGCGAGTTTCTTTGCATCAGCTGCTCTACCTCACCGCCCTTGTTGATTATATCCTGGTGTTTATGTTAATTTCTCCATCATTTTTGATTGGTCACAACCTGACTCCTGACCCAAAACCAACCCCAGTTGTTCTGCTTTCCGAGGTGCCTTGCTTTGATGCCGTGTCACATGCATGCGCTGCCTGGTGGCAACCAGAACATGTGAATTCACCATCCAAAATTAGGGGTTATCGCAAGTCTTACTGTATCTCATTGGACGTGTAGCGGGCAACCCAAAGGATCGAAAGTCTTTGATTTTCAGTATCTTTTGCATAGTGGACACATCATGTCCGACACGTCGAAGGCTATCTGGGGCTATACATCCTGTACATTGCTGTGCCGGTTATTTGGTCACCTCTGGATCCGTTCTATCCGATTCTATCCCATGGGTCATCGCCATATCACCGTGGTATCCCCAGGATGCGGCTGCGCAGTTTGCGGAGCAGCCGCAGCTCTTGCACGCCTGTGAGGAGTCACATGGTGAGCACATAGGAACGTGGGGAACTGTGAGGCAAAAATGGAACGAAGGCCACACAAAATTTGGTTCTGTAAGAAACCCAAAAGGGCTAACATCGAACAATGGTGGCCAAGAGACCTGTGAACAACAATGTCCCGAATCTGAAATCGAATATATTCTAACCCACAAGCATTTACCTTCACTGCAAAACAAGGAGTGGGTCCTACCCACACCTCTCTCAAAATAAAACACCGTCCGGTGTGAGCAAGCTGTGCTTTGACCATCCCATCAGCAAAGGGAAAGAAATAAGAACTCCAGTGAGCGCAAAGAAAAGAAGAAAGGAACAAATCACAAAAGAAACAAACATACAACCCCCCGGGAAGCCATGTTGGCAAAGGCCCAGCTTTAGGTTGCACTCAATGGCTTGATCTATCCTCAGATGTTTCTTGGAATTGGGGCCCTAATGCTGGAGTAATTTTGACCCCAAAAATACCCACAAGTGACGTTTGCCATTGGCCTTTGTAGTTTTAACTTTTTTGGTTTTCGTTGAGGTTAATTTGTTCTTACTATGCTAAGCATTGCAGAATTTTTCAAGCCCCACAAACTTGCACTGGCACCCGCTGGCACCCAATCTGCCGGGCCCACTGAAACGAGGTTGTGGCTGGACACGGTGCGCTCACTGAAAAAAGAATCATTTGATCAGGTGTGATGTGCTGATTCCCGGCGATGTCCGGCGCAGACTGGGTAAGAACTGATAGGTTTCCGGTTCCCTACATGGCATGCTGACCTGAGAACGGTCCTGGAATGTGCTGGATTCAAAATGATCTACTCTGTTGATTTTCTTGTGTTTTCATTGGGGTACCACAGTTGAATTGCCCCAAACCAAGTTGACGATCCTGACCAGGTGTGGATTCACCACTCAAACGTATCGGGAATGACACTTGTTAATTTGAGCCGATCCGCGCCTCCCTCGGCCGGAGCGGCTTCCACCCCATGTCCGTTGTAGGGGCCAAAAGCAGTGAAATCTTCAGTCAGGGGAAATCTGTGCGACAACGGAGGCCACAGGGATGACTAATTGAGAAAGTGAAATCATGGTGAAGTTCCTGGGGCTTTGTTTTTTGGGATATATACTGTATTTCAATTGCAAATAGATAAACCAATCAACCAAATAGCACGGTTACATGTATAACAACTGCTGGCCACAGTGTTGGGGAAGTGCTTTGACATTTGTGCAGGCCAGGCTCAAACCTGGCACAGTGCTGACGGGTACATCTGAGGCATTCAAACAGCCGGCACACAGCCGGCACACAGCCGGCACACAGCCGGCACACAGCCGGCACACAGCCGGCACAGCATTGATCACATCCAATCTATTGAAATCAGTTCTACTCGGGACTGATGGCATGGCCTCCTGCGGACACCTGCTGGGATCAAAACTGATGACAGGTCATTTGCAGGGAAAAGTACCTGATCATGAGGGCTGTAGCGGCCTTGCGATGTATTGAAGATCGACAGCATCATTCACTTCAACAATATTGAAACATATATTGAAAGCAGGGTTTTCTTGCCGGCTCAGAAGCGCCCATAGCTGTATGATTGGCATGTGATTGCATTGCAGTGATTGCAAGCCACTCAGAGTCAGCGAGACTTTATTCCTTTGATAGACCCTGCTGTTGGAGGGGTTTCCATCTTCTCATAGAAACTTGTTTGGTACTTACTTGGAACTCAACGCCATCCAACAGGACAAGGCTGTGGCTATCAACAACTGGGTTTCTTCAGATATGTCCCCATCGAAACCCTAGGAATCAGCCCAATTATAGATACAAACCCTTGAGTTCCTTCTTTGCTGGCAAGATTCCTACAACCCAAGGAGGTTCATCCTCACGCCAGTTAGATGAGCAAAACTGTAGCTGATGTCGTTAGTTTGTAGTCTCCTTAGCTACTGTGATCTGCGAACTTCCTGGTGAGTCTTTAAAACCCCTTAAATCACGACCTTAAATCTCAGCCATGAAGTTGTGGCCAACTTCCAAGCGTGGCATGAGCTGCTGCCTCTTCTTCTTGGCCTTGCTCATGCTGGCAGTGCTGGGCTTTGAAAGTGAGAAGCCGAAGACTCGAGATCTGTGGGTCCTCAGCGCGGAGATGCCGCAGCTGCCGCCCCTCACGGCACTTTTGTCCTCCGTCCAGCGCAGGGACGAGGCGGGATTCAGCTGGTGTTTGTTTAGATCATGAGGTGTTTGCCCCAAGAGAAAGTCCCAAGGGAAGAGAAACAGCTGGCATGAATCTCAAGAAGATCTCAAGGGCACGAATCTTCTTGAAAGATGCTGCAGCACACAAGCCTTCACCACGGCTTGTGAAGCAAAGCATAGCTAAGCAGCGCTCAAAACCTCCATGAAAAGGATTTATATGAACGCTGTGCTAACTTACCTCCGCAAAACTACAAACCGTTTTCGCGAAAGCTCACGCGAAGCTTCAACACTAATTAAAGTACTTGCATGAAAGCTCCGCAAAAGCTCATATTGGATATGGAACCTTGCATTTTTCATGCATAAGATGGCTGAATATCACACGTTCTTGGCATTTGTCCGCAAAAGCGCCGCGAAAGCAAACAGTGGAATAGTAGACGCTGCGAAAGCTACAACTGTTTACTGTTTACCCACAGCCCACAGCTAACCCAGTTCCATGGTGGATCATGGTGGCTACTGCTCAAAGATGATCATGGCTTAAGTTCCAGGTTAAACTGCAGTGAAGGGGACGAACCTTTTTGTTGACCCTCACTCATCGCGGTTTCCAATGGGAAGATGGGAAACGTATTTGAAGATGTTCGAGATCCAAGGTGAAACTGGATTTCCATGAGAGTGGATATGGGTAAAGTAAGTGATGGATGGATGCTAAATATGAAACAGTTCTTTGTTTCTCAAGGGATAAATTCACGTTGATCAAGGAAGAAATCATGATACTACCCGGCTTGCTTGAACAATCAAGGACCAAGGGCAGAGATGGGAAGAGTCAGAGAGAAGAGAAGAGTAGAAGAGAGAAGGTCAGAGAAGAGAAAGAGTCAGAAGAAAGAAAATGCAGATGCGCGAAAAGGTAGGAAAGTCGCAAGACACTGTGTTTATCGAATGATTTGTGGCTCCGGAGGGTCGAAAAGTAGGCTCCCTAAAGCGGCGGGTGCGGAGCCATCTGGCCAGATGAGAGATGAAAAATTGCACGCCGTTGTGGCGCGAAGCACATTTCGAAGTCAAAATGTACAAAACACACCAGGTCCGGACCACTTTTGGAAGTTGAGATGTCGAAAAAGTGCACGCCGTTGTGGCGCGAAGCACATTTCGAAGTCAAGACTTGGCAGACGAGAAGAATAGTATCAAGACAATATATCACAAATACAAGACCATAGTTTGCATCGTAAATTTCGTATCGTTTTTCACACACAGAAGCTTTTACAAACAGACATGTTTGCACACAGAGACTTTTACGCACAGACACCTTTGCACACGGACGTTTTACACAAAGAGGCTTTTACACACAGAAGCTTGCACACACAGAGAGGCTTTTACACAGAAGCTTTTACACACACAGAATTTTACTCACAGAAGCTTTTACACACAGACGCTTTTACACACAGACACTTTCACACAGACGCTTTTACACACAGACGCTTTTACACAAACACTTTTACACAGACGCTTTTACACACAGATGCTTTTACACACAGACACTTTTACACACAGAGACTTTTACACACAGAAGCTTTTACACAAACACCTTCACACGCAGAGACTTTTACACACAGACGCTTTTACACACAGACGCTTTACACACAGAGACTTTTACACGCAGAAGCTTTTACACACAGACGCTTTTACGCTTTTACGCACAGACACTTTTACACACAGAAGCTTATCTTAGACACAGACGCTTTTGCACACAGAAGCTTTTACACACAGGCGCTTTTACACACAGACGCTTTTACACACGGACGCTTTTAGACACAAAAGCTTTTACACACAGACGCCTTTACACACAAACACTTTCACACACAAACACTTTTACACACAGAGACTTTTACACACAGACGCTTTTACACACAGAAGCTTTTACACACAGACGCTTTTACACACAGACGCTTTAATACACAGGCGCTTTTACACACAGGCGCTTTTACACACAGACACTTTTACACACA